TGTGTGCCCAGTTGTGCAAGGCCCTGGGTTTGAGTTCCAAACAGAAAGGCCACCGGACCTGACACCGTTACCTGCAGTTTTGGTGAGCAGAGCTCCCAACACAGCCCCATCGGGCATACTTCATTTTGGGGTGATTTTTCATGGTGAAAAGCTCAAAGTTCATTTTTTGTAGTTTTTTTCTTTTGGTACTGGGGATCAAACTCCTAACCATGCACTTGCCAGGCAGGCACTTACGCCACTGAGCTAAATCCTTGGCCCTGTTTTCCTTGTGAAATGTGCACATACAACTTGGCGTTTGAACGATTTGTAAGCGCAGGCTTCAGCAGCACTAGGTACCTCTGTAGTTCTACGTATGCATTGTCACCATACGTTTCCAGAAGACTTCATTACCCTCAAGAGTCTGAAACCACGAAGCAGTGACTCCAGAGGCCTGTCCCCAGCCTCTGGCATTCTAGCTACCTCGTGTCTCTAGGTACTACCTCGCCTAGATAGTTCATGTACGGGGAGTCATAAAATATGTATTTAAAAATTTTTTTCATAAAATGTATTTTTGTGTCTGGCTTATTTTCTTTGACATAAAGTCCTCCAGGTTATAGCTAGCAGGTGTCTGAAAATAAAAACAAAAACAAACAAAAAAACAAGTATCTGCGTCTTTGCTTTCATTTCTTTCCCTAGAAGCGAAACTGATGGGTCACATGGGAATTGTTTTGGGGTGATACTGGAGCTCAAGCCCTTGGGTGCTCGCCCAGCCCGGCACAGCCTCTGAGCAGCCCACCCAGGACTTGCTACCCTCCTGCCTCAGCTTCCCTTGAGCTGGGCTTACAGGTCTGTGTTGCTACACCGGCTGTCACTTGTTAAGGAAACATTGTACCGTTTTCTCTTCTCTTTTCTTATGAGACAGGGTCCTGGGCTGGCCTGGGACCCATTGAGCTCCCCTCGGCGTCACGGGTGCTGGGGTTGTGGCCGTGCATTTCCAGGCCAGCGATGAAACCATTTTTGCTCCAGCATTTTTCCCCTCCCATGAGCTCCGTGTGCAAGTGCGACCCCCAAGCTGCTCTCCACCTGGGTCCCCGCCAGCTTTCAGACGCTAACTCACACTCCCATTCCTCTCTACCTCAGGTGGCTGTGAAGCTTTAAGAACTTCTTGAAATCTTCCTGCCCCAGCTTCCTCCTGCATGCTGGAATTACAGGCGGGCAGCACCATATCTGGCTGCCTGTCATTCTCGAGTAAACTTTTTCTTGCTTCAGTGTTCAATTGACTGCTATAAAATTATGCTTCGCAGTTTTTTTTTGTCTTTTTTGTTTTTTATCAGTACCAGGGATCAAACTCAAGACCACCTGCTTGCAAGGCAGGTGCTTATGCTGCTGAGCTAAATCCCCAGCCCCATGCTTAGCAGTTTTGACGAAATTAGTTTGTATAATTAATATTTTTATTTTTTTGAGACACTCTATGTAGTTCAGAGAGACTTGGAACTATGTGGCCCATGCTGGCCTCAAAATTGTGACAACCTCCTGCCTCAGCCTGCTGAGTCCTGTGTTCTAGGATTACAGGCACGTTGCCACCACACCTGACTCATTACTTTGAGACAGGGTCTTAGTATATAGTTCCAGTTGGTCTTGAAGTCACTATGGACCCCAGACTGGCCTTGAACTCATGATGATCCTCCGACCTCAACCTCCAAAGGACTGTGATTACTGCCAAAAGTCACCACACCTGGCTCCAATGATTTATCTAAAAATATTTCCATGAAAGCACAAGTGTTTGGAGCCGACTGCTCTGCCAGTTTGAGACATCACTCACCATTTCTGAATGACATTTTTACTGGGTCTAGAATCACAGGTCGACAGATTCTTTTAGTACTTTCAGATGTTTTATCAGTCTTCTCACTTGCTTTGTTTCCAATAAGAAAGTGTATTATGCAGGGCTTCACACTCAGATTCATCTCCCGTTTTCTTATGCCGGCTTGAATTTGCTCTCATCCCAGCCGCCTGGGTGCTGGAGTTAGCCGCACGCACCGGCCCACCCAGCCCACCTTTCTCCTTGTTCCTCTGTATGTAATGCCCTTTTTCCTGGACCCTTTTCTTCTTTTTCTTTTAGCACTCATTTGTCACGGCCTGTAACTTTCTCCTCAGCACTGTTTTGAGTAATGTCATTATGTACATTTCATACATGTCTTGGAGTCTGTTGAGCTTCTTGAATGTTTTTTTAAAAAGACTGATATATACATTGTATGTATTTATGGGATCTCTCACCATATCTTGATAAACATACATACTGTGTAATGTTTACATCAGGGTAAATCAATCCATCTCAAAAATTTATCACTTCTTGGGTCAGGCAAGGTAATGCACACCTGTAATCCCAGAACTTGGGAGGCTGAGGAAGGAGGATCACTGCAAGTGAACCGCATAGTGAAATCTGGTCTTAAAAAAGCAAAAAGCCAACCCCCCCCCCATTTTATCAATTCTCTACGGTAGTACCTGTGAGTTTAGTTTTTATCAAATCTGGAACCTTTTCAGCTATCATATCTCTACTACCTATGTGCCTTTTTTTTTTTTTTTTTGAGATACTGTTTCACCCTAAGGTTGAGGCTGGCCTTGAACCTTGAACTCATGTTGTAGTTCAGGCTGATCCTCTCGTCTCCCTGGGGCTACCCCACCCAGCCTTTTTTTTGGAGATAGGATCTGGCCAGATACACCGGAATGATCTTGAACTCATTAAGGCGCTCATACTGGCCAAATTTGAGACCTCCGTTTCAGCCTCCCATGTCCTGGGATCGTAGGAGTGTGCTACCACACCTGGTCTAGACTTCACTTCTTTTTAAGTGACTTTTAAGTGTTTACCTCAGCTGTGGAAATTTATTATCCACTAGCTGAATTAGGACTTTTTGGTTTGTTTTTCACTTTACTGAACTTTTGAACAGACTTATAATGTCCTTGTGTGCTACTTCTAACATCTGTGTCACTTGTGGATCCACCCATGGATTGCTTTTTCCTCTCATTAGCAGTCACATTTCCCTGGTTCACTGTGTGCCTGGTAGTATTTAAGTTGATGCCAGACTACATGAACTTGACCTCGCTGGATGCTTAGGGTTGACTGTATCCCTACAAAAAACGTTGTAAGCTTTTTTTTGGGACAGCCAAATTGCTCACAATCACTTTGATCCTTTCAGGTATTACTTCTGTGATTCAAGTGTGACCAGCGCAGCATTTAGGGTGGGGGTAATTATTTGCCATTACTGAGGGAAGATCTGAGTACCTCATTTGCCAACCTGGCTGATGGGAATGGGTAGTGTTCCAGCCCTGTGGGAGCACTGGGTCCTGTCTCTGGAACTCTCTGGAAGGCCTGGGGGCAGTGTAGTGAAAGGGAGTGTTCACGGAAGGCCTCTACAGATCTCTGGGCCTCCAGTTTAAGAGAATCTTCTAATCTGTCTTTGCTGGGCCGTCCCACACAGATATGGCCACGCCAGGTGCAGATGTCCTCTCAACTGTTGTACATAGCAAAAAGAGCTTCGTTTTATTTGTATTATACCAAAATACCAGTCATGTGGCCTACTGCTCCGTATGCGTTTTTCTTTTCTTCTGGGTGACCTAATTGATATGTTAACCAATGCTCTCCTCTGTAAAGAGCTGTAAATCCCTAAAAACCTAGCTTAATTGATATGTTAACCATTGTTGCCCCTCTACAAATAACAGATGTCGTGCTAAAATAAGCTAACAAAGATTTTAATTACTGCTAGATTACTCTATCCTCTGCTAAGAAAAACAAAGCTGTTCCTCATTAGATTTCCTGATCCACGCCCATACCCCTTTACTTTGTAAACTGTGATATGTACTTAAAGGCAGCAAGTAAACACACAGCTTTTGCAATCTCCAACTGCACTGTGTTACTGGGCCCAGGATAAAATAAATCAGCGCAACTTTTTAAAAATGTTTTTGCCTCATTTTAAAACTCGAGTTTGGGGGCTCGAGGTTTGTAGATTACCAAGATCAACGCCCTCACCTCTGGCGCGGGCGGGGTCTAGTGGCAGCGCCCACAGACACACTGCCCACTGGCTGCTGGTGGGAAGAGTCTCAGCTCTCACAGGCTCGGGTACTTAGGTTTGTGTCTCGCGTGCCCGCAGGGTGCAGTGGCTGAGTGGGCAGCTCACGTCCCTGGGGAGATGACCTCAGGCACGCAGCTCACTGTCAACTGTTAATGACAAGCAGTTTGGCAAGTGAAAGGCAAACCTGGTTTTGGGAGGGTTCTTGACCGTTCAGTCAGAGGCAAGCTTGGGTCAGAGAGAGGGCCTGGAACCTGAGGAACAGGACGGCGTCGGGGTTTCCTGAGACTCCTGGGGCTCGGCCTGCGCACCAGGGAGGAAGGACTTGTGCCATCTCGAGCTTTCCTCCTGGGGACGGCCTGAGCTCCACGCGTTTGGGGTAGTAACTCTGGACGTCACCAGCAGTCGGGATTTTCTGTGTTCCCCAGGAAGGAACCTGCAGGAGCACTTCTCAGCGCGGCCGGGTGGGGTGGGGACAGGCGCAGACCGTGCAGGGCAAGGCTGCGGGGTCTGCTTCTAGGCGGGGCCCCGCTCCTGCCCTGTTCAGGCCTCGGTTTCCCCAGGGTTCGGCTTCCACGTCCGACTACGCCCAGGCGCTCCGCCCAGAGCGGACCCGACCGAGGCCCCACTGGCCGTCTTCTCCCTGTTCTTGTCGCCGGAACCACGCTCATCGCGTCCCCGCCGGCGATCTCTCCACCGCGGCTGTCCAGAGGGCGCCCCCAAACGCCCACGGCCGGCTGGGCGCCTTCCTTCGCCGCTGTCCTCAGGGCCGCCGGCGCCTCTCTCCGGGGCCCGCAGCGAGGCGTCTGTGCCCGGTCTGACGAGACAGTCACGGGCTGAGATCCGACATAGCGCGCGGTCCGCACCGAGGAGACAGGCGCAAGCGCAGCAAGACTGGGCGGGGCGTAGGCTGTCCACCCCGGAAGCGGAAGTTGCCTGGCCGGCCCACTGGGCCGACTCCCCACGGCTGCGTGACCCGGAAGCGCTCGTGGAGGCCCCGCCTCTGCTCTCGATACCGCATTCTGGGGAAGAGCCACTTCCTTTCTCTGCTCGTGCGCGTCGTGGAGGCTGTAGGTGAGCAGCGCGGGGTGGGTTTTAGGCGGGGACCGGCCCGGGCGGGGTTCTAGAGGTGCGGGATCTGTCGAGGCGGGGTTCCGAACGTGCGCGCGGGGGCAGGGGGCATCGTGCTGGGGTCACGCACGCAGGGCAGGTCTGAACTCCTGGCGCCGTGCGTTGACTCCCTAGGCAGGGCCTCAGTATGCAGAACGACGCCGGCGAGTTCGTGGACTTGTACGTGCCGCGGAAATGGTGAGTGTCCTCGCCCAGGGCGCCGCAGCTGGGCCTTTCCTGTCTCTTTCTCCGTGACCCCCCTCCGTCCTTTGGCCCACGGTCCCTTCCCAGCCCAGCAGGCCGCTGCTCCTCCCCGCTCACTATGCGCCCTTCCTCTGCAGCTCCGCCAGCAACCGCATCATTGGCGCCAAGGACCACGCGTCCATCCAGATGAACGTGGCCGAGGTGAGCCGACACCCTGTTCCCGCAGAAATGGCGCGGACTGCCTTTGTGCCTTATTTCCCAAGCGCCCGATTAGACTAAAGGGGGATGGCCATGCTGTCTGTATTTTCATAGGTTGACAAGGTCACAGGCAGGTTTAATGGCCAGTTTAAAACCTACGCGATCTGCGGCGCCATTCGCAGGATGGTGAGTGTTTCCTTGTGCTTTGTTTACCGCGTGGCCCCTCCCTGCCTGGGGTTACTGTGCTTTTGTACCTGAGCATTTGAGCATGTACCGGTGATTCATTCTTTAGGCCAGAATAATTGTAGGCAGGAGTAGGTTTACCAACTGCCTGCTTTTTCCTGTGGTAGAAAAGGGGTCCTCAGGGGCCCAGAAAATTGGCCTTGCCTGTTACTAGGAGCTTGCTGGTGCCTGCTCACTGCCATTTGTATTTCTTTCTCTTGGGTGGAAACACCAGTTTGATGGTGCATATAGGGTTTTGACCTCCTGCTAGCCCAAGTAGCCATGGTGGAAATGTTCTTAGCTTTTTTTTCTTTCCCAGGGTGAATCAGATGATTCCATTCTACGACTGGCCAAAGCTGATGGCATCGTCTCAAAGTAAGAGGGTTTACACTTGGGCAATGTGGTCTTGGGTCACCTCCTGAGATATGATTTAACGCTGCCTTTCTTTCCATGTAGGAACTTCTAAATGGCGAGAGTTGTGGATGTGGAAAATCTATCACAAATAAACAGTCAGAAAGCACCTGTATTGGTTCATTCTGTCCCTAGGGCTGGGGAGCAGGGCTGGCGCTTGCCTACATGGGTGACTGGTGGAAGGGGCAGGGTACCTGCTTTGTTGAAAGACAAACTATGGGGTATTTTGCAAAAACAGTTTTACTTCAACAGACAAATACTCAGTTCACTTGAAAACAATCCGTAACAAAGAACTTGAACATTCTGAGGTCAGACACTCATTTTTGCACACGTATGTTCACAACTGCTGGGTGCTGAGGAAGCAATACCAGGTCTGGTTTGGCCTGGTCACAGCCCAGCTGAACACCCTGCACACAGCTCGAGACTTCTGGACGTGGTCTAGAGGATGACAGGACCAGTCTGTCATTTGGTTTAAGTGTTGGCTTTGTTTGTAGCAGCTCTCAGATACCACACAGTGGCAGCTCTTGGCCTTATATGTAAGGACATACACGAGGACTTAAAACCGGCCAGTATGGTAAATGACTGAATCTCCCTACATAAATAACACAAAGTTAAGTTACCATTGTGTTTCTGAGTCATTTTTGGATACTAATGTCCATGCAAGTCCTGAGGGGATGTGGCCCAGAGTAGGTTGTAAACCAGAGCAGTGTGTAGCAGCCAGTCCGTTACCACGTTTGTAACAAGTGCCCCGGAGACACCATTGTGGCAGCACAGCCAGAGTGTTGCCTACATTTAGGCCCAGTACCAGGGGGTGAGGTCTCAGGTGCACTCGAGTTTGGAGGTTACCCTTGGTGTGCTGAGAGGGAGGCTCCATGACAGAATGACAGCTGGTTTCCCCCTGGCCTACAGCTTTGCCTTCCTGGACTCTGGCCTTCACTGCTGTTGGGGCCTGGAGGATCAGGGTGTGTGCAGGGAGAGGCCCAAAGGCAGGCAGCTGAGCCCTTCAAGCAGCAAGCTTCGCCTCTCCCCTTAGCATAGCTGCCAGCAGATGACGGCAGAATGGCCATTTCGGAGACCAGCAGTATCCCTTGGTTCCTCAGTGCTTATGGTGGGACAGCAGATGGCCACATGATCCACTGCAGAAACATTGGATGAACTTGGAAATGCTGACGATGGCCCAGGTGGCCTGTGGCTGCCAGGCTGCACAGCAGGGGCAATGACAGTCACCTGGTAACTGGCTGGTGCTGGCTGAATTGCCCAAGGCTGAGTTTTGGATGAGGAAAAGGCACTGACTGAGGGTGTCATGGAGTGCACGCTGGTCATGTGCCTTTGTGTGATTTCTGGTCACACCATGGGCCCTGCTGGACCAGTTTCTCTAAGACCCACTGTCCCTGGTCTGGTGAGTTGGTGGTGATCCCTCATCAGCCAGGGCAAACCATCCCTACAGTATCAGCTCAATTTCTGATCTACACCTTGCCTGGTTCATGCCTTGGGCACACTGGAAAGGAACCCCACAGGGCCAAATCCCAGGTTATGAGTACATTTCTTGGCCACAGTATTGCTTAAGAAAGTCAAGAGCCAAGAGTCAGCAGCTGTCCTAAAGTTCCAGGGTCACAGGCAAGTGGATTCTGTCAAGGCAGAGGATGGGGCTTGCAAAGGCTGGCCTGGTTCTGCTGAGCCCTACAGGGTATATACGACATTGCATTACAAGATTTCACAGTGACATGATGCTTGAAAACAAGTCTAAGAACAGACCTGGATCCTGTTCTTGGCAGCTTAAACTGACTCCAGAGCCAGTGGTGATGTGGGAGGCTCTGAAGCTTTGCTCAAGTGGAGAGAGCCAGCAGGCGCTGATGCTGGGAGACACTGCTGGTCCAGGGCCACTCTGCCACATACAGAAAACGAAATCTCTAGATGGACACTTGAGTATGTGAGACCGGGCAACCTCAGCAGGCTCCCGAGGACTGCACACCCAGACCTCGGCAGTGCTAGTGCTGCAGCTGATGGTTTGCAAAGGTAAGGCGAAGGGAAGATGACGGCCAGAATGCAGGATTCATCACCAGAGGCCCTGGTGCCAGGCCAGTCTTGGGCACGTGAAAATCAAACCCCACTGCGTTCATGTAGAACTCCAGGAGAACTCAGAAGTATTCTTGGAGGTGTGGCGGGCTTTGGAGCAAAAGCAATGTCCCTTCCAAGGAAATGGAGAGTGAGGAAATGAGGTGTACTGGCCACGAAGCTCAGACACACAAAAGGGTCTTGGGCAAGGCGTGGTGGGCGCGTGGATGCTGGTGGCCTCAGTGCCCGGGCCAAGGAACACACTTTCCTGCGAGCTGGTGGCCCGCCTAGAACTGCTGGGTGAGGCGTCTGTAGTGAGGTAACACTTGGTTCTCCGGAAGATATAAGGCCAGCTCCAAAGCCACGAGGACTGTGAACTCAAACCCAATGAGATCGCGCCTATTGAATCGGAATCTTTCTTCCAGCTTCTGCATTGGAGGAGAGAGAGGTTAAATGGGCTCAGCCCTTGTCTGGGTTCCCCACCTAAGGCAGCGGCTTTGGGCACGGGATGCCCCTAGTCAGGCAGATGACAGCCCTCCCTGCAGCGTGGCCTTGTTCCTTGGGGTGCAGGCACAGAGAAGGCCTGGGCCACGTGGGGACCCCACACTCACATCAATGAGTTGCTTTACTTCGTTCTTGCGGAGGTCGCTGCTGATTTTGGCAGCCAGGAGCACGCAGGCGCCAGCGCACAGCTTGCGGTTCTGTTTGTTGAGCTTGCCCTGCAGCACGAGCTTCTCGAAGTACACGTAGGCCATGGATACGGTCACGGGCTCTAGGCTGCACTCCTCGGACAGGTTCCGCATCTCCCGCTTCAGGCTGTGGTAGGAGGTGGGATGGAGGCTGGGTCCATGGGGCAGAGGCCGTGGCCATAGCTCAGTGGTCGCTGCCCATGGCTATGCATGGCCTTCACTGGACAGCCCAGAGCCAAGGCACAGAGGGAAGCAGTCAGGCTGGGGCACCCGCTGGCCCTTCCTTACCTCCTGATTTTGCTCAGCGTCAGTTTGATGTGTGGAAACTTCTCTCTGAAGGTCTCATTCATGTCCTTCTTCAGGTCTGAGGGCTTCACGTACTCTATCACTGTGGTCTATAATACAAGCAGCAGGGAGGGGTGAGCCCAGCTCGAGGATGGGTTCCATGGGACCTGGGTTTGCACACGTGAGCGTGCGGGTCTCAGGGAGGTGCCCGATGCCAGGTACCCAGGATGGTGCCAGGTGGTGGCTTCTGGACTGCCCCACACATTGCCTGTGTCTGTGGGCCTAGCGCCCCTCCCCCCCGTTGGTGTTCTACAGCGGGGCAAGGGACCCTGTGGCTGGTGGTCCTGGAGTTCCTCATGCTGTGGCAGCAGGCCCTTACCATGTAGGAAGCAAAGATGAGGACGCGCTTGTGTTTCCCACAGGGCCACTGTGGGTCGTCCAGAAGGTTGGGGTTGTACTCCAGCATGTCTCCCCCATCGCTCCCTGTAAGAAGAGGTGGCTCCTGACCCATTAGAATTTCCCTCAGAACCAGCAAAACTGCTGAAGTCTGGGGGAGAGGGACTGCTGTGGCCACCTGCCCAAGGGCCCAGTGGGCAAGTGCCTGGCTCTGCAGAGGCCAGTGCTGTGCGCTACCTGGAGCTGTTTCTCGATAGGCTGCCACTGACCCTGCGCCCTAGCCAGGGCACGCAACAGGACTTTGGGTGTGAATGTAGCTTACTGGTGCGGGTGCCCCATTGCTGGCCTGGCCTGGCCAGTCTTGCTACCTCCCCTGTGCCATGGCAAAGGCCTACAGGCCACACAAGTTTATGCCATGGGGAAGGCGTGTGCCTACCTAGTTCTGTGCCAGCTGGTGTTGCCTTGGCGGTGGCAGGTTTGTGTCTTGACCCTGGCAGAGTCCGGGGGATGCTGGGCCGAGGTTGGGGCAGCAGGCTGTGGCTGTCACTCTTGTGTGCCACCAGAGCATTGGTAGGGTACAGGAACTTTGCATAGGAGACAACCTGGAGACGCAATTACGTTCGGGGGCTCAGTCCTGCTTCTCTGGGCTACACTACAGGAAGGCCAGGTGGGCGTGTATGCCTGCCCTTCCGAGAGGGAGCCACAGCTGGGAGGAGCTGTGAGTACCACGCCACTCCCTTGGGGTTGGCGTTTTACACGTCACAGCATCCTGGAGCACGAGCTTCCCACCCTCCACCTGGGTCTTTCTCTGCCCAAGGAATCCTTTGCTGCAGCGTACCAGCCTGGGTGGGGGCACATACACCTGCTATGCCCCGTGTGGCTCCCACCCCGGTGATATCTCAGGGCTGGCAGCAAGGGCATGTGCTGGCCTGTGTTTCAGATTCATGTGAAAGGTGCCTTCCATGTCCCTGTGCACTGGCCCTGAGGATGCTGGCTGCCTGGTGGCCGTGGGGTTCTCACCTTTCCATCTGCTCCCAATTCAACGCCTTCCAGTTCAAAGACCATCTCGGAAGAAACAGACACGCCGCCAGACGGATGCCTCTGCTTCTGACTGTCCACCCGGAGATCCCTGCAATGCACAGGAGAACGGGCTGGCCCTTCTGCCCACTGCTGGCCTTGCTCAGCTCTAGCAGCACAGTCCCCATCTTTCTGCACTGAGGCGCCTGCCTGCACGGCCTCTCTTGAGCCATGACCCAGAGGTGTGTGTCGGGGCTTCTGCTGTAAGGCCACCTTCTCACTCCAGCCCATCATGGACATGACCTGCCCAAACCTGGGGGCTGGCAGCACTGGGTCACTTGGCACTTACCTTCCCTTGCCCAAGCTTGGTTTCTGGGTTCGTATAACCCCTCCCTTGCAGGCACACCCCTGGCAGCTCAGCTTGGGCCCTGAGAGCTGGCTGCTTCCCCAGGCACATGCCAGGGTCCTGCACGATGCTGTTCTGCCCCCAAAGCCATCTTGTTTCCTAAATTATGCTCATGGCACACCTGCCTGGCCTGGACACAGAGAGGCTTGGCTACGTCTGTAAGACGACAGGAACATCCCAGGCAGCCAATCAAGAGACAGGCTGGGCACGAACCACAGCTCTCCAGAGAGCAGGACAGGAAGAGGTGGAGCTCCTGAGCTCTGCTGGCAGCTGATGCACGGCCCTCGCGTCACCTCAGTGGGTGGGCAGCACCTCTTATGCTGGGCCCAGCAGAGCCAGTGCTTGGACCTTGCTCAGGTGTGGACACTCACCTGATCCGCAGGCCTTCTCCATAGGGCAGGACTGAGAAGGCTGCACACAAGGACCGCTTGGCGCAGATGAGCACGATCCTGTGAGGGCGGGCAGGGGAGGGTGGCGTTGTTTCCAGCGCTCTGGGAAATCTCCCCGTCAGTCCGAGGAACTCTTGGACCCAGGAAGCCAGAGCGGCTGTTGGGGGCAGGTCTGATGACAGCCCTTGAGCTACACTGGGCACGAGCACAAGTACTCCACAGGTGGGGTGTCCCTGGTCCCACTGCACACACTGACCAGGGGGCTCACGCTGGGACGAGCCTGCCCCAGGAAGGCCAGGCCTATTTACAAAGGCAGAGGGCACAGGACTGAGGGGCTGAGGTCTGCTCAAAGCCAGGCCTCGGTGACCCTGGGAAAAGTGGGGCCTGAAGCATGAAGTCAGGGGGACACCGTGTGTGGCATGTGGTCCACAGGAGCAAGCAGCTACAGCCGAGGCTCCTGCCCCCTGGACGCAGTTCTGCCTGGCCAGGCCTGCAGGTCCAGTGCTTGGCTGCCTCTGGCCCTTGCTGCAAGGTCCCTGGTGGCCCTGCTGACAGCACAGGAGAGGGAGTGTCCAAGCCTACACTCAACCTTGGAGGGGGCCTGGTGGGGTGAGCTCTGGGGGGAAGAGGAACTTTCTGGGGCCCGTGACATGGTAGTTGGCAGTGTGGAGGCAGGGGACAGGCCATGTGCAGCTCCCAGGGCCAGCCTAGCAGTGTCCTGGCAGCTGTGCAGCTGGATGGCAGCTTTTAGCTTAGCCTGCCATGTGTTCTTCCCCCCTGGACACATCTCGGGGCTAAGCCCATCGCTGTGTGTCTCGGTTTCCTTTCACTCTTTCCCACTGGCTGGTGTCCACCTGGTGGCCTTCCCTGGCACTGCACAACACCGGGCTTGCAGGGCACGTCGGGGACCTGCTGGGGCTGTTAGCACAGGAAGGCAGGTGTCCACCTCTCAATACCACAGAGGGAGGAGCCCGGACAATTGGCAGGTCTCTCAAGGACCGGGCCAGGGCCGGGGTACGGTTACCTGCTGTTCCTTGTGTCATACTGCCTCATGTTCTTGATGAAGTGGGTCTTCTTCAGGCCTTTGTGTCTGGGTGACCCAGATGCATGTTTGGTTCTGCAAGGTAGAAAAGCAGGTTGCTTTCCAGGAATCCTCTAGGGTCAGTGGCTGCCCCAGGGCAGGGAGGGCAGGGTGCGTACCTCTGCACCGAGGCACAGCCCATGGTGTCTTCTAGGAACTCGAGGGAGCAGCGCTGCGACGTGACCCGCCTCCTGCAAGGAAGATGCAATGGCTTTCAGCACAGATGGTGTCAGGACTCCCACCAAGGCGGCACCTCACCGTGCAGGGCCGGGCTTACTGCTCAGCTTCGGGGCTCAGAGCAGCAGCCGCCACAGCCCGTGCTGGGCATGAGGGCCCTGCAGAGTGGACTCCTTAAGAGTAAGTTGTGCGGGGCTGGGGATTTAGCTCAGCGGCATAAGCACCTGCCTTGCAAGCAGGCAGTCGTGAGTTCGGTCCCTGGTACCGATAAAAAAAGAAAAAGACCAAAAAAAAAAAAAAAAAGAGTAAGTTGTGCCAACCTTCTCTGACACCCGAGGGGTACCTGCTGCACACTGGATCTCACAGGCCTGTCCCACAGGGCCCTGCCTGTGGTGGACACACCTGTGCCCTTGTGGCAGGGCAGGCCCCTGGGGCCCACAGCCAGCCCAGAACAAGCACAGCAGCCTCTTCGCAGCAGGCCATGGCTCCCACTCGGCACCCTCACGGGGAGGCTCCGGAGCCTGGACCTTCCTTTCCCAGCCCCGCTGAGGCTGGCTTTCTGGACTTGGGGCTTCTATTCACCTGCTGCTCCTCGGGGAGTGGGGTGGGGTGGTTGCTAATGCCTGCCATCCTATGACCTGCTGCCAGTGCTGTCAGCAGTGGGAGCAGGTGTCCTTTCTGTCCACCTCTGCTACAGCTTTGGCCTCCACAGGGCAGGGGTGGGGTGGGTGCTGTGTGCTCAACACTGGGTGTTTATGTCACATGAGGGAGGCTCCAGGAAGGCAGCTTCGGTGCTGTGTGTTGGTGACAAGCTTCTGAGTCCTGAGGATGCAGAACCTCACACGGAAACATCTTTGTGTCGGGTGACAAACCTGGGTTATTAGTCCCAGGGTCACCATGGTGCCCATTACTATTTACTGACTCCCTGGTCCTCACAAAGCTACAAAGGCAGCCCCTGGAGGCCGAGGTACCAAGGTCAAGGCCACAGGTGGGCAAGGAGAGGGGCTGCCAGCTCTGAGGTTAACACTTGCCTCCGCCTCCTGCCCCATCTGGAAGAACAGAAACGAGAAGAGTCCTGAACCAAGCAACACCAGGCTAGGCACAAGGGCTCAAGGTGCCACCGCCCTTGGGCACTTGGCCCAGCACCCAGCCTCACAGGGGCTTTGGTTTTTAGTTTGTTTTTCCATTATTAGACAAGCAGGTCATATTTTTAGGAAGCTAGCACACTGAGTATTTAAGCACTGTCTAATCACCCGTAATCTTTCCTCGGACACCAGCACTGCTGACACACTGGGTCACACCCAGGTCGTGTGCCAGCCCATTCCCTCACCCAGCACCTCACTTCTTTCGGTGTCAAATACATCCTGGCTCTAGTGGAGGCAGAGCCTGATCCTCATGTGGGAGCTCTGGCGGCCCTCTAAACATGATCCCAAGGGGGAGCCTGGGCCGTGCTGCAACTCGAGGCAAACACCCCTGTTCACCTGCACCCTTGCCGACAGCTCTTTGGGGGAGATTCAGGGTGGCACTGTGGGCCAAGGCCACTTAAACCCCAGTGGAACCAGGTCCAGCCCAGGAGAATGGCTATGACCTCTCCAGAAGAACCCTGTAATAAGCACGAGCCACTGCCCTCCCACCGGGGTCATGGGAGTCTTCTGGGCATTTCCCATAGCACAGACTTGAGCCACATTTTGCCGAATGGGTACAGGAGTAACTGCCAGTGGGCACAGCAGCCAGCTGCCCTGCGAGACCACACTGGAGTTTCCTTTCCTGGCTCAGAAATGGTCTGCACAGCTGCACAGGCCAAGCACTGCTCTGTGCCTTGTACCAGAGGCATGGATGCTCATGCTGGGGCCCCCATAGGATTCCAAAAATGCAGCTCATATAGTCAAAGACCAACCATGCAACAATGTCGTAACGGGAAAATCGCCCCATTCAGATAACAGAGACAGTGAGGATTTGCACAGGTGGTGGCACTGGTGTGGGTCATGGAGTGTCAGAGTCCTTGGCATGAGGCACTTGGCAGAGGCCTTGGCAAAGGGCACTGTTCTTCAAGGCCTTGTGGCAACCTGTGTGCAGAGGGATGCTAGGAACAGGAAGAGATCCAGCTGGTCTTGGTGTTGGGCACAGGCAGTGCTGCGCTCCCTTTGGGGGCTCCTTGTCACATCCTCAGGCCCTGCAGCTGTGCCTGTGAGTAGCTGTCCACATCCGTGCTTCTAGAAGCTCTTGCAAACCCCATCTTTCTGCTTCTGCTTCCAAAGGCGCTTGCTATACCCTGAGCCAGGCTGCTCCCCCATCAGTGAGCCTCCAGCCAGCCTGAGCAGCGTCCCTGGTGCCTGGCTGGTGGCCACTCATGCCCACTGGCCACAGGTGGCTGACGGCACCCACTGGGCAGCAAGTGCAGGTTCCACTGGAGCCATCTTTGAGGACAATGTGAGCCCTCCACTCACAGAGGGACAAGTGGTTTGAGATGGGACAGCCATGCAAGAGCCTCTGGCCCTCGGCCCTTGGTAATGGCACCTGTGCAGCTACCAGGAGAAAACAGGTCCCCCTGATGCTTGCTCAGTTGCAGGGGTACCACAGGCTGACATGACTGGAGCCTGTGGAAGAGGAGATCAGGACACAGACACAACGATGCTGTGGGAATGCAGGGCAGGGCTGCCACACACCCAGGAGGGGCCCTGAAGGAGCCGCGCTGCCTGCGCCCTGCCCTCGATTCCTGGCTGGAGAGGCCTGAGAAGATGCTGTTGTGCAGGTGGCTGCACTGTCAGGGCAGCCCAGGCTGGAGAACGCAGGGTGGAGAGCAGGTGTCGGGGGCAGGTGGCTGAATGCCACGCGGAAGGCTGGGCTGCAGGTCAGCGGCCTGACCCAGCGGGGCCAGCCTGTTGTCTGCACAGGTTTCAGAATGGCTCTGGGCCCCACCAAGCAGTACAGCCCGGGGTACTAACAACTCTAGCACTCTGGGAAGCTGAGGCAGGATGGCAGGTTCAAGCCCAGCCTGGGTAACTTAGCAAGACCTTGTCTCAGAAATTAAAAAGGGCTGTGGATATAGCTCGGCGCTAAAGCCCTGGTTGGGTTCAATCTCTTGTACTAAAAGAAAAAAAACAAAGAAAAGAAAAGTGTACATACACAGTGGAGTTGGTCCAGGAGACTCGTCCACTGACAACTGCCCAGCAGGTGGAGGTCACTCTGCCTGTGCAGCTTCTGCTGTGTGCTCTGAGACAAGGGCAGTCTGTGGGCAGGAGCCCTGTCACAGGGTGTGCAGTGGGTCCTGGGTCCTGGGCAGGGATAGGACAGCTTCTCCCTCTGGCCCTGCGTGCCACCAGTCTACGGGGCCTAGCTCCATGTGGCCGCCTCCCCGGCGGGGCAGGACCAGCCCACCACACACTACCCAAGGCCTGCATTTATTGGGGAGCAGGCCTCACACTCCCCAGGCTGCAGTATCACTGTGCCACCCAGCAGGAACAACAACTATGTGAGCTCAGGTCCTGGTCAGCTCCAAAGCTGGCACCTGGAGCCACAACCACTTTACTTACTAACTCAGTCTTTTAAAAGATAACAGCCCAGGGCTGGGGATTTAGCTCAGCGGCATAGGCACCTGCCTTGCAAGCAGGCAGTCGTGAGTTCGATCCCTGGTACCGATAAAAAAAGGAAAAAGACAAAAAAAAAAAAAAAAAAAAAAAAAAAGATTAAAAGATAACAGCCCAGCAGGGAGCTTCTCACTTCTCAGGTTAGGCGCTGTGCCTCCCTACCCACCCCAGCTAGGGGTGCAGGAGGAGTCCTGGCCCGCACAGAGGTGGGGAGGCCTATGGCAGACACTGGGCCAGGAGGTGCCGAGTGCTCCTGACTCTGCAGGCCAAGAGGAGCAGGTGGCGGGGGCAGGTGGCTGAATGCAGGGGCTTCCAGTAGGGAACAAAGCCGCTCCAGAGGGGACTTATGGTGGAGGAGTTGGTGTTCTGTTGCTATTCTCTGGCTTTGCCCCGTGGCGCTCTCAGGGCTCAGTCTCCAGGGTCATCACGCTGGTGATGCCTAGGTGGCTCTGGCACACCTGGGACCTCATTTGTGGGCCCTCAGTGGTGGCAGCGGAAGCTGGGCCCCTTAGCTGCCGAGGAGGAGCTGTGGGCAGGCGCTGGCCTCTGCTGTCTGGCTTTCTCCTTCTGCTATTTTCTGGTTACTCCAGAAACGACTCATTCCTTTTGGCAGCTTTTAAAATCTGTTCCCAGTTGGTTCGCAGCTCTTTTCCTTTGTGATTTTCCCTCTCTCCCCTCCTCGTAAACATCTCATTTGTAAACGCGCTCCAGCAGGCAGGCAGCAGCACTCTGTTCGTAGATGGGGAACAGGGTGCCAAGCCATTCAGCAACTCACCCACCATCGCACATCTGCCAGGAGCGGGTCAGGGTCTGTGGCTTGGCCACACTGAGGACAGCGGGAGGTGGACGCACAGTCAGTGCTCCCACACACAAGGCGGGCAGGAAGCAGCAGATGTAGGGGGCCACAGAGGGCAGGAGGAGCCTTCTGGGGTGTCTTCTGGGGGTGGTGGCTGCCCCGTGGGGCTGCACACTCCGTTCCGCATACCCTGCCATATGGTGTGAATCTCAAACCACAACTGACAATCGCTACGAGCAAACCCAAGGAAGAGTCTGGCCTTTGTGCTACCGCGGCCAGCGCGCAGCCCTCTCCGATAGGTGTTTGATGAGGTGAATTCTACTGAGTCCAGGACACCTGTGCATGGTACAGTTGGGGCACAGGAGGGATTGGCTCCAGCTTTCTTCGCCATGGCCGCAGGCCCCAGGTTACTTGTACCTGAGTTTTGGGAGGTCACGGTTGGGGCTGGGGTGACAGGTGGCTGCCACAAGACCCCATGACCTAGGACCGTCTCCCCAACCACCCCTTAGTAGCAGTGGCTGAGCTTTAACACCTCACCCAAGTGCTCACGGGCCGGGCATGACCGTGCGCCTCAGTTTGCTAACTCTCTAGGCTGTTCACCTTCTAACTACGGACACCAGCAGGCAGAGGCAGGCTCCTCTCCGAGGCTGAAGACCATGTCACCATTAAGAACCCAGACAGAAAAAGAAGGGGCTGTGCAGGCTTGAGCTGGACTTGGGCTGGGAGCGGCCAACGGCAGGAAGGTGTTGCGACACTGGTGGGGGCGGGTGGCTCCTCTATCACAGGACTACATGTGTCTGGCTGGCAGCCAGCATGCTCAAAGCACTGGCAGGAGCATGGACAGCGGTCCTGTCTGGCCTCCCCGTTCCATCTCCTGGTCTAAGTGCTGTGCCTGGCACACCGGAGACCCTGGTCTTGGGGACCTGTCTCCCCAGTCCTTCACTCCCACAGGGATGATTCACACAGTGTGAGGACCCAAGGTGATCCTGGGGCTGGAAGGGGCCTGGTGGCCAGGTCCTGCTCACAGCTGGGCCTCTGGGTCACTACAGGGCCATGTGTCTCTGGGAGCCAGCCTCAGATAACCATTCCCAGCTGTTTCCCAGCTGGAGCGCAGGATACTCCCAATCCAGGCAGCAAACAGACTGGCAGATGCTGGCCTGAAATTGGGTGAACCTGGCAACCCCTGACTGCTCAGCAGGATCTGCTGAGGGCAGTGTGTCCCTATAGTGCCATCGTGGGGCTCCTCTGGGGGGGTCTGCTCCCCACCAGCACAGCAACACCCTTGCCTCACACTGTACCAGCTTCGCGCTGGGCTGCATTTGCTGTGCAGCGCAGAGAACCCCTGGCCTGCAGCGCTGTCTCCTTCCCTCAATTAGTGCTGGATGGTTGAGCAGGGCCGCTGTGCTGAACCAGGCTCCACCCAAGACATGGAAGTCTGAATCCTGGAGGGGCCTCAGCTGGAAACAGCTCTACCAATGCAATCAAGTTAAGATGAAGGCGATGACAGAGTCCTTCTATAGGAAGAGGCTGTGAGACAGACACCAGGGAATGGTACGTGCAGATGGGCAGCAAACGGAGCAGCACAGCCATAAGCCAAGGGATGCCTGAGCTACCGAGACCTGGAAACGGCGGGAAGGACCCTGCCCCAGAAGGTGGTTCTCCCTGCACCTGACAGGGGGCTTTTGTCCTTGAGAACTGGAGGAGAGCAAACTGGCCGCTGTGCACTGCCTGGTTTGTGGTCCTTTGTTGCGGTGGCCCTGGGACTCCAGCACAAGACAATGGCACAAAGGATGCAGCGGGAAACGCTGTCTGACAGGCTCGGCCTCAGAACTCCTGCTTCAAACAGCCTGGGGAGCCCAGAGCTCCAGCTTGCTTTTGGGCATTCATCACAATGTTACATGAAAACAAACAGCTCTATGAAGAAAACAGGATTCAGTGATTCTCTCACTGGCTTTGCTGAAAGTCCTACATGTCAATTCAAACTCCACCCTGACTGCGATGTGACTGCTCCCTGTTCCCTCGTGGCCTGGCTTGCATCTCTGTCACTATCCTGCACCCTGCTGAGCCCCTGGAATCACTTGACCTTAGGGCTTTGGAGCTTCCCGTGAACCCACCCCAGAGAAGAAGACTGTGGCTGAGTGAGGCCTGTCGGCTACTGAAGGTCACAGAGGCACTGGACAGCTGAGCCAGGGTCTGAACCAGGAGTGTTCCCTGAGCTGGGCTGGACCACTGCGCCCAGGACATATGCCTTGGGGCTACCCCCCAGGACTTAAGAGGCTCCTTATTTCCTAGGGCCTGGAATGCTAAAGCCAAGAGCCAGAAGCTCCATTTAGCAGGGAAACCCCTCTCTTGCTTTAGTGATCGGCCTGGGAGCACAGAGAGGATGGACTATCAGCGCCAGACTCCCAATGCCTCAGGCTGGTGGGCACCTGCTCCCCATCCTTGGAGCCTGCTGCCCATTGCGGCAGGGGCAGGGACTCTGTGAAACCAGAGCAGTGCCACGAACCAGGCAGCATAGTCCCAGGAGGGGTGACTTCCACAAGCTGCAGCCACGGGGAGGCAGGAAGGACCGCTGCATGGGAACACAAAGGGGCAGGCCCAGGAGGGAGAGGGCAGGAGACAGTCCCCTGGAGGACCAAGATGAGCGGTGGGGGGGATGGACGACACACGGGTCTGGGTTGGCTGCAGCATGAAGACTAAGGGCACCACTCACGCCTCCCCCAGGGCAGGGCACATCCGCTCTTCCCAACAGCCCAGGGCGGCGAGACGCATGGGACAGCAGGCAGGGCTCACACAGGGTGACCAGTTTGCCAGTCAGGGCAGCTCTGGAGTGACAGTACTTCCCTCGCTCGCCTGTGTCCACTCCCTCAACTCGCCCCACCCTGGAGGCCGCAGGGCAGGCCATAGTCTTTGTTCATAGGGCCTGGCTCCTGTGGGAGGCCTGAGCTCCTTGCTGAAATGGAGCCTAAAACCTGGTCCCCAGCACTCACACCGTGTGAGGGGGAAGCCTGCACCCAGCTGCAGGTGTGTCTCAGGTCCTCACACCTCCCTCTGGAGTCGCGCTGGCCACTTGCTGCAGTCTCTGAAGAGCTGCTCAGCAGCTCCCTGTCCCTGCTCTTAAAAAACCGGCTGGGCATGCCAAGTGCTTGGTGTCTAGCTGCTGCATTCAGGGGACACTGATCCCTGGGCCCCAGGTGGCCACTGACTTTCCCTGTAGTAGCAGCTGGGCTAGTCAGAGGAAAACATCTTGTAGAAAACTCAGGCAGTCAGACTCCCTCTCAGCCTGGCCACAAGTCGGAATACTCCCACCTTCCAGCTGAGATGGCGACTTCCTCAGACCCTCTAGAATGTGCTGGAGGGGTCCCCAGCCAGACCTTAGAGGAACCCCTTCAATACAAGTAGCCCGTAGGCCGGTTCCAGGACTCCCAAGTATGGTATGAAAAGGCTGACACCTGAGCCCCTCCCTGGCGCCCCTGTGCACAGCACAGCCAAGGGCAGACTAGCATGGGGGCTCCATACAACCAGGCCTGGTGCCTGCAGCCACTCCTCAGGAAGGGGCAGCAGGGCACAGGAGGGGACCTAGAAGCAGGGTCACTCTCTGTAAGGACACTGGGTATGAGCCAGGAGGACAGCCTCTAACGGCAGCCCTGAGCTGGGCGGGGGTCTCCAAGAAATGCAACTGGGGTAGGGGAGTAGTGCAGACCCCACTTGAGGTCAGGCAGGCCCAGGGATGCTGCACTCAGGTGGTGGGGGCAGAGCCTGGCAGCTCTAGGTCCATGGAAGTGAGGTCTGGCTGGGCTGAGGATGGATGAGCAGTGTGAGGGCTGGGTTTGCAGGCTGAGTCATGGGAAGGCAGATGTGCAGGGGGCAGAAAGAGAGGTCAGAGTCCTTGGAGGGCACCCACAGAGCAGGTGGGGGAGGGGGTGTGTCCAGAGCCAACAGGATCCTGGATCTGGAGGCCAACAGGGCTGAGGGGACCTTGAAACCCAAATTCAGGGATTACCAAGGTGAAGAAAACCCTGACCCTCACATTCACGAGCTGACAGCATTAAAGGGGCAGTGACTGCCATGTCTAGGGGCTGACAAGAGCACAGGTTATCCCAATTTCTGTTCCCTTTTCACACTACTGGCCCCAGACACCCCAGCCCATGTGTCTCAGGCTGGTGGGCCACAGAACACCCCAACTTTGATCCCTGCATTCTGGAACCACAGTCCCGACCATCCCAACCCCTGAGTCACGAAGGTTAAGTATGCCCGAGGTCACCCTGACAGCTGTGTCCTGGGTTGGCTCCTGCGCCCCGCGCTGCTGGGCTCCAGCCGCCCGACCCCTGCGTCTGGGGCTGCAGGAGCCCGAGTCACCCCGCACCTGCGTCCCCGCTGGAGCTGCGGGATCCCGACCCCGCCCCAGCCGCACTCACCTCTGGCGCTGGCCGTCCAGGACGAGGCCGGCTGGCGCCGTGGGGCTGAGCAGGCCCGGGGGCGCGGGCCGGGCGCACAGCCCTGGGAGGCCGGCGGGGGGCATCGGCGGCGGGGCGGGCGGCTCGCGGGCCTCGGCGGGCGGCGGCGGCGGTGGCGGCAGTGGCTTCTCGCCGCCGGGCCCCAGGCTCGGGGGTCGGCCATCCAAGGAGATGTTATTGAGGAAGAAGAGAGCGGCTTGGCGGCGCCGCGAGTCCCCGCGCCTCCGCGAAGCGGCGGGCGGGTTGCGGGCGGCGGGCGCCGGCCTGGCGGGGCCGGGAGTCGGACCCGGCGCTCCTCCCGCCGCGGCCGCGGCCATGCTCGAGTGCGCCGCCGCGCCGCGCCGCCGCGCTGCCTGCCATTGGCCGCGCCGCGCCCACATGCAAATACGTCGCTCTCGCGCCGGCCCATTGGCTGCGGCTCGCCCACATGCAAATATATCGCCCTCGGGACCGCCCATTGGCTGGCGCGGCGCCGCCGCGGGCTACGTACCACGGCGCTCCCCTGGGTCCTAGAGCTATTTTAGGCGCTTCCTCGGGGAGCGGCGACTGCCAGCGCCGGCGGTACCGGTGTTCGAGTCTCTGCTTCGGTGTCTGTGGTCGTGAGGCGCCGGCTGCCTGTTTCCTGGTCTGGCCGCGGCGAGTGCGCATTATAGGCGTGGGCGTGGGCCGGGCGCCGCTGCAGTTCCCCATTCAGTCGGGAGGGGCCGAGTTTCCTCTGTCTTCCGCCCCGCTTCCCTTGGGTTTGCACAGGGTCGGCTCCCGCGGAGCCGTACGGTCCCGCCAGACTCCCTTCCCTGCGGAAGGGAGCCCAAGGGTCCGGGGCAAAGGCTGCTGCCCGCCATACCAGCCAGGTCCGAAGCGCAGGGTTTGAGTCGGGCACTTCGTTCCGCAGATCCTGCGCTTCGCACTCAGCTCCCGGGTCACTTATCATTAAAGGGGGATCTCAGTGTGGTCAGGATGAAGGTGGCCGAGGAGAGCACGCGGCGGCCAGCAATCCCGCACGTGCCCGCACGCAGCCACCCGGGGGGGGGGGGCACGTTCCCCTCTCGGCACCTTCGGCTACTAGTGCTCTCCATCCCTGCCCGCCACTTCCACATTGGCCTCTGGCCTCGCTAGGCCTAGAAGGGAAGGTGGACAGCCTCTGTGAGACAGAGTGTGGGGCTCGGCTGGAGTGTGAGGTGGGTTCCCCAGGGCGTGCATTTCCAGCGGTGGAAGAACTACACCTTTTGGACTCTAATGTCAGGGGACTCAGGAGCACCACATCAGTGGACTGGGTCTCAGGTTCCATTAGCTGCTGGAAACCATAGTTGAGGCTGAGTACACGTGCAGGGCTGTGGTGTGGCCTGGGCATGGTTGAACTGAGAATGAGCAGACACCTCGGGGGGCAAGATAGGCCACAGCTGAGGCCACCTGGAGACTTTCTGGATAGTTTTCCTTAACTCATATGTCTGTTGCTCTGAGGGGGTCCCAAGTTCCGGTTCAGGTCTCCTCCATTGTCTGCTCAACTCCTTGTTCGTTCTGATTAAATATGGCTGCTCATTGTCAGAGTTAAGAGCTCTGCTGAGTACTTTAGTCCTGCAGCCCTAAAGACCATGTCACTTGTCTCATTCTTTTGGACTTTCGTTGTGTACCCATTTGGGGGGCTGGGGGGCCTAGGCACAGACCCCAGCAATTAGTGGACACTGCTGGGGTGATAGGGGGACCTTGCCTGAGTAACCCAGCTTCCCCGAGCTGCTCCCCCTGTCTGCGAGATGGGAGTAGTGAGTCTGTGCTGTGAATGTGGAACCAGGTGTGGTGCTGGGGCTCTCAGCCCTTGCTGCTGTCACAAGGAGACCCTGATGGGGAGGGAACAATAAGCTGGAGTCCAGAGAGGGGCTGCTGTGGGATCGGTTGGGGAAAACATGAGCCCCACAGGGTGGGCAGGAGGGAGGGGCCCTGGGCCGCCTCTGACAGAGCTGTGCTTTGAGGTGCTGGAGGGGCTCTGAGGCAGGAATGTAGCTTTCTCCTTGGGGCTGTTTGTCCTTTGCTCCCCCTGCCCCACTGCAGGGGACAGGTGGATGACTGCAGGCCCAGCCTGGACAGAGATCAAACTGAATGGAGCACACAATTTGTGTTTTATTTCATTTTGGAAAAATCAACAACTTTTAACAGCTGGAGCACACACATACAGACACAGGACTTCCCTCTTGGGATGGGGCCCTCTGGCTTCTCAGGCCAGTAGGCAGACAGGTTGTGGTCAGCAAGTGGACCTGGTACCCACTAGGCATTACCCAACGTGCCCCACGTCCTGCCATCCCATTGGCACACAACCCTGGGGTCCCTCCTGCCTCAGCCCCCACCCCCAGTTGCAGTCCTCTGGACATTGGGAGGGCAGGGCAGGGTGTTTCCTCGGTGTCCCCTCTGCCTGGCCTCCCTCAGAGTGTCCTGGATCCTCCGGATGGCCTCCTTTTGCCTGTGGTGCCGGGGGTTGAACCCTCCCCACTGACCTACATCCCCAGCCCTTTTCATGTTTTTGGAGACAGGGTCTTGCCAAGCTGCTGTGTCATGCAGGCACGGCTCACTGCTGCTCTGCCCACACCAGCCCCAGAACCCTGGGATTCTAGGTGTGCACCTCTGCACTGTGCTTCCCCACTTTCCCTGTCCGTGGACCCAGAGTGATTTTAGCCAACTTTCTAGAGCACATTTGCTTTTACCTATTTGACATACTCCTGTTACAGCTTAAAACCCAAGTTTGGATCGCTCATGCCGTTCCCTGGGGACAGTTTCCCTCCTCATCGTCCCCTCCCATTGGACGCTGACCCTTCTCCTGTTTGTTCACAAGCTCTCTGGTGCCCAGATAAGGTCTCAGTGGCCATCTCGGTGAACTTTGTGTGCAGGGAAGTTGCCCCTAGGCGCTGCTTCAACACCTGCATGTCCTGGTTCAGTGGATCTGGGTGGGGCCTGGGCTTCTGACCTGTAAGCTCCTCTGGCAGAGTGTGGGGGCCCTGAAATGCATCTTCAAACAGTAGGGCACCCCTAGGTGCCACTGGTAGGATCCCAGGTGAGCCACCTTGGGGCTGCCCCCTTGGCTGACTCAGGCCAGAGCCCATGAGTGTGTGGGTGAGAAGGGCAGTCGGCCAGGGCAGGTGCGTGTGCTGTCACTGTCCCCCAGGGTCTTGCCACTGGCTTTCCTTCATGCCCGGCAAACCCAGTAGGGCTGGGTTTCTGCCCTGCAGGCCTGAGGCAGCTGAGATCCTTGACACTTGCTGGGGTGGTAGCAGCGGCTGACCTCAGCGCCGTCAGCAGCACACACATCTCCCTGTGTGTTTATGCTTCAGGTTCTCTGGGGACCGGGTTTGGGAGGCCACCTTGCTTGGAAAGGCACCTGTGTCATGTCCACCAGCGTGGTTAGATGCCTGTTTGCATGGGGGCCACAAGGTGGCGCCCAATACCGCTGCTACTGGCTGCAAACCCTGGGTGTGTGTGTGTGTGTGTGTGTGTGTGTGTGTGTCTGTGTGCGCGCGCGTGTGCGTGTGTGCGTGCCTGTGTGTGTGGTGTTTATCCCTGCTCTGCTCCAGTCTGAGGGGTCCATTAGGTCCAGGAGGGCCTCAGTGGAGACAGGCAGCAAGGTGCAGTGGCCTGGGCTTTAGTCCCTGCCTCCCACCCGGCCTGCTCCCCTGAGGAGCAGGTGCTGTTCCGGGTATGGGGGTGGGGCTGGCAGGGCTTTTCTGAGATGGAGCTTCCAGGACACTCTCAGCGGAGGGTAGGACCCAGGGCCACCTGCCGTGGTGTGGCAACCTGCAGGTGGGTGGAAGCCATGTGGCCTGGACCAGCTAGGTCTCCTCGTGTCCGTTGTTGCCAGGTGAGGGGCTGCGGTCCTTGGCATCCCTTGGGCTGTCAGGCTCCTCTGCTGCCAGCGTGGGCTCCCTCGCTCTCCTCCTCCCTCGGCATGTCTTCTTGGAGGCTGTGAGAAGTGAACAGAAGTCAGACAGAGGTGCAGCAGTGGCTCCTGGGGCCCACATGGGTCCTCCCTCAAGGTGACACTGGCTTTTGCTGAGGGCCTTGAGGGCAACTTGTGGCAACCCAGGCAAGGCTGGCTGGTACCCTCATTCCTAACAGCAAGGATGCCAGGAGCAAGGGTGGCTCCTTGGCAGGGTGAGCCACAAGAGTTTGGAAGAGGAGTAGCTCCCGACTCCTGGTGTCCGCCCTGAAAGCAAGGTCTGAGCTCCTGGAGAGCCTGGAATGAGCCTGGTGACCAGGAGCTGGAGGCCCCTGCACCCCCTGGCTGGCTCCCACCCAGGACGACTTCTGCATGCTCACTGCAGGAAACACTTGGAGTGAGATAGGTATACTGGCCTCCACTTGAGCAAATACAGGCCACAGTTGCCTGCTGGTGACAATGGCACATTGTGGTGGTGGCCACGACCCAGCCTGCCTGCCTGCCGAGCTGTAGGCCCTGCCTGGGCAAACACCGGGCCACATGATTGTGAGCTTAGGTGTTCAAAGGCTCAGCCATTGTGCCCAGAGCAGGAAGTGGAAGGCGGCCTGATATCCCGGTCCTGGGGTTGTGAGGCTGCTGCCAGCCTTATCAGCAGGAGCTGAATCCAGAGGCAGCGCCTTAGGCAAACAAGTGAGCAGCCTTGGCCCTAGTGGAGAGAGACACCTTGGGCTGGATGGGCGTCTCTGTCGCTGCTCCTGCCCAAAGGTGGACATGGGGGTCTAGAGGCTGCAGTGCCCTAGGTGGGGAGGAGGCTGCTCGTGGACCAGGACGCCCCTTGTTTCCCGGGTGATGGTGACAGCTGCTCTCTGCTTGAGACCTTCTACCCTTAATTTACTGAGACGTCAGAGCCCTGGTGTTAGTCCCCTTACAACAGGCAAGGAAACTGAGGCCGAGGGCACAGTGAGATGGCCACATCTGGTGACTCCCTGAGGCTGACCCCAAGTCCCTCCTCTTTGGGGCTGGTGCTGGAGAGTGCAGTGTTTTCCTTTTAGCCCCTGCTACCCAGGGCTGCAATTTTCTGGGTGCTGGGAAAGGACCCCCCCCCCCCACTGCCCTCACTGTGGTACCTTTGTTTGCTGGGTCCAAAGCCGGCTGCTTCCTCTTTAGCTGCAGACCCTGCCGGGGCTCCTGGGGGCAGAAGCACCTGTGTTCCTCCCCTGGTGTGCTCAGCTTGGACCTGGTCTCGGAGAGTGGGACCACCTGGGGAGAAGGGGGTACATTAGGCCAGGGCGCACCCCGCTATCCTGCAGCGCCCTCCCCTAGCACGCAGCTGCGGACCCACCTCGCTGTCGGAGGTGTCAGATTCATCCAGTTCTTCTGACTCTGGCCTCTGCACTCCGGCCTTGCTGGGCTCTGAAAGATGCAGTGGAGGCTCAGCCCGAGCTTGTCTAACTAGGACAGGGAGAAGTTCCACAGAGCCAGGTGACTTGGCCCAGGGCTCCCGATGGGGTCTGAACCCAGGCCAGGTCTGCACTGCCCTGTGCAAGGGCCCTGCCTGCTGAGATGCTCTCCCCTAGTCCGGTCACCAGCAGCTCTGGCCAGTGCCTTTCCCACTGCTGAGCACGGTGGGAACAGCTGCCTAGCCTTCAGCACCTTGCTGTCCACAAGTGGGAGGAACTGAACCCCAGACCCAGGGCCACCAGGGCTGAACACTGCCCTCCCTCGCCATGGTGGCATCACTCTGGCCGGACCCTGCTGACCCCGTGCTCACTGTACCTGGGGGTGTGGCAGCCTGGGGGCTCTGTGGCACGGGCGCTGGCCTTGGCTTCTTTCTGGGCTCACATCTTGTCCCAGTGGCAGTGAGCAGGCTGAGGTGAACCCCTAGGAGGGGCTGTGAGGGCTCCTGGAGAAGTAAGCAGGTGGCTGGAGGCTTGGCTCTGGACGCAGCCTCCAGGCCACACCTGGGCTGTGGTTGCCAGTCCGCTCTTTCCTTTCTAGTGCACTTGAGCAGCCCAGGTCTCCCTGGAGCTGACCTGGGGTGGAGGAGCGGCTGGCCACAGCTGGGGGAGTCGGACTGCAGTGGGGGCGTGGAGGGCAAGGACAGCTCTGGGCCTGTGGCCAGTGCTGAGCCCCTTACCATGGGAGTAGGCGGCCCCTCCAGCTCTGGCTCTGACTCGGTGGCCCCCTGGGTGCCATTGCTGAGTGTCTTGGTATTGTGATTCATGGGTCGGGGCAGAGTCAGCGGCTCAGGGCTGCCAGGGTGTGTAAGTTTGGGGCTGAGTGGTCCAGATTGGCTGGCAGAGTTGGGGGAGACCTTGCTGCGGCCCGGGTCCGAGAGATCCAGCGGCTTGTCGGGGGCATAGTCCTGAATGGCCACTGCCTCTTTCCTGGGGGAGCCGCCCGTGGGCGGTAAGTGCTGCCCGCCTGGCAGGGCTGCTGTGGCCAGGGCTGCCCCAGCCACCTCGAGCTCAGGGCTCTCAGAGTCTGAGTCGACTGGTGGGGAAGGTGGTGTCGCCCTGGGAGGGGGTGGGCTCCTCAGTGGGTCAGCGCCTGCCCGGGCCAGTGCACACAGCTGCCGCTGTGCCAGGAGCAGGTGTAGCGCCCCCTCCAGCCTCGGGTCCTGCATGCCCACCAGGGCATTGGGCAGGCCCAGCAGGCTTGTGGGCTCCTCCCAGACCTCCCCTGCCTTCAGCGCCCAGGGCTGGGGGCCATGCAGGGCTGTGGCAGAGGCTAGGGGCCTGCTGTTCGGGCTCTGGAGGTGCAGGGACAGAGGTCGGTTCAGGAGGCAGAATCGGTCGGCCTGCAGGGGGCGCTTCAGGGGCTCATAGGCTGGTACTGAGGCCCCGGAAGCCCTCAGGAGGCTGTGGGGAAGAGAAGCTCAGTGAGGAGGCCCATTTCACAGGTGAGGAAACTGAGACACAGGGAGGTAAAGGAGGACCCCAAGGTCACTCAGGGTCACAGGGGGGAAGGGCAGGCTCCCAGCCAGTGCCATAGTCGTGGAGGGTGGTGGGCTTGGCCATGGATGGTCCAGGGCTTGACACCGACTCCACTGCTAGCAGGAGAGCAGGCTCACAGGTGCATTACTGGGCCACCTCTGTGACTCCATTCCCTCCCTCGGACATCCAGGGGAGGCTTGGCATGGGCCTTCTGAGCACCCTGTGCAAGGCCTGACCCATCTCCCATCTGTACGCCCCCAAGCCTGGTCATTTGAGTGCCCATGTGGGAACGCTGACAGGCAGATGCCCAACACAACCAAGCCAGGGAATAGTGGGGTTTGTGGGGGCACAAGAAACAGACTCTGGGGCTGCTGGGCTCCAGCTGCAGGGCAGGACGGGAGGGCTCACCTGTCCAGAGGGAGGCTGTGCTCGTACCCGGGGCTAGACGGGCTGCTGCCGTTGGGTGGTGGAGATGTCCCATCACTGGGGCTGTGGCCTACTAGGCAGGCCCGAGACCCGGGCTGCAGCACAGCCACGGTGGCATGCAGCTGGTTGGAGATGCGCTGGGGGCTCTGCGCAGGGTGCCGAGCAGTTAGCTGGGCCACTGCCGCCCTTGCCCTCATACACTGCATAAGCTCAGGCCCCCCTACCCAGCCCTCCCCTGGTGGACGAAGGCCTCACCATGCCTGGAGCCCGGGACTCGGGCAGGTTGCTGCCCTGGGAGCTTTTGGCCACTGGAGACGTCCTGCAGGTGGCCGACTTATCTGTGGGGGGAAAAGGCCATGCAGGGAGCTTGGAGACGCCCCAGAGGTGGGGCTCCGCCCTGGCCTGTCCCCGCCCCACACACCTGCTCCCGGAGGGTCCTCGCCAGCCTCTTCCCGGCCTCCTTGTGGCTTCTCCGGGACAGCCTTCCAGCTGCTGGGGGAGGGAAGCAGTGCAGGCGAGGGGGAGTCCGAGGCCCCCTCCCTGGCCACAGGCATGGGCCGGTCCCTGGAGGCAAACCAAGGTGGCTGAGGGACGTGGCCCCAGGTGACCAGGAAGGCCCAGCCCTCCCGCGCTGCCCTGCCAGCTTCTGCCAGCAGAGCCTAGCCCCAGATGTCGGGAGGTCTGCTGTTGGTGGGTGGGGGTGGGGGTGGGGTCCGGGTTGTGCCTTTCCCACTCACTCCAGGCTGCGTAGCTGCTTCACCTCTTCCTTCAACATCTTGTTCTCCTCCTTTAGCCTGGTCATCTCATTGGCTGCAAAAGGCGGCCCTGAGTGGAGTGGCCGGGGAGGGGGCCCAGGAGCAGGGTAGGTGCTCTCACATTCCAGGACCCCCCATGTGTGTCCCCCTACTCTGCCCAGGGCAGATGGTCCGATTTTGTGGGATAAAGAGGGACAGCCTTGAGGTTTGGGGAAGTAGAGACTCCCACCCCGGCTCGTCCCAGGGGCATTCGGTGAGCCTCAGGGCTCTGTGGACCCTTCCTCATCACTGGGAAGAAGACAGGGCCCTGACAGAGCAGGGGTGCACGGCCATTCCCAGGGTGACCATCGAGGAGACCCAAGCCAGCAGGGCTTTGTGCCATTCCTCTGAGAACTGGGGTGTGGAGCACCCAGTGTGGGGCCGGGTGCCCCCCAGGACACTGAGCAAAGCTGGAGTCACGGGTCAGCCGGCAGGAGGTGGGGCTTACTGAGGACACAGATGCGCTGCAGGCTCTGCAGGTGGGAGCTCTCGAACTCCAGCTGCCTCTTCCTGGCCACCTCCTGGGTGACCATGCAGCGGTCGCACAGGCCAGCCCGCAGTCTGTGGGCAGGGGAAGGAGTCACCTCACTGAGGGGCGGCCACGGCCCCTCGATACCAGGATGCTGACCTGTGTCCCATGCGTGGGCTTGGTGTCCTGGTCCCCTTAAGCACGCAGCTCCTCCCACAGGCTCTGGGCAGCTGCCGTGGGGAAGCCACTCACCTGTTCTCCAGCACTCGCAGGTTCTCCTTCAGCGCCTTCTGCTGCTCCCTCAGCTGGTGGTTCTTGGCAAAGAGCTCCTCCACCCGCTGTGCGTCCCTGCAGGGAGACGGCTGAGGTGGAGCCGCCAGCCCCTGCTCAGGGACCCTCCGGTGCTCTGCAGCCTCAACCCAATGGGCGCGGGAGCCACAGGCAGGCAGAGATCTGGGCTCTGTCACTGCCTCTCCGCCCGGAGGTGAGCGCAGGGGCTGGCCGTGCCTGCTGGAGGCCACGGCTCCTGGGGTCCATTCTCCTCTACCACCTTGCGCTGTGTGGCCTTGGCCAAGGGATGCACCCCACCTCCACACTGAGTCTCAGTTTCCCTTCTAAAGCTGCAAGGTGACAGCACTGCACCCTGGGGCAAGGGGGAGGTCTGAGCACTTGTGCGGCCCCAGGGAGCAGCTGACTGCTGCTCTGGTCCCTCAGGGCTGACTCACCGGCACCTCTCTGAGTTCAGTTCCAGAAGCTTGTTCTGCAGGCCTGGTGGGGGGAGGGGCAGGTCAGGCCCAGCCCTGCCTCTCCCCAGGCGGTGCACCTCCCCCAGCAGGGTTTGTGCAGAACCTTGAAGTGTCACCTCCTATCACTGGCTGTGCTGTGGCCTCCTTTCTGGACCCCTGACCTCCGGACTGCCCCTCGGGTGAGATTCCTGCTGGGTGCTCTGTCCCCCACCTCCCACAAGGAGCCAAGAAGGCTGTGTTCGGGAGATGCTAATGTGACATTAGAGAGCTCTGGGGGAGGACTTCGTGAGCCCCTTTTGCCCTATCTTTGCTCTTGTGTTCTGCAGTTCTGGAGATTAAACTAAGAGTCTTTGCATCAAGGTACATCTCCAGTTCTACCCCCACCCCCAATTTTAAAAACTGAGACAGGATCTTGCTGAGTTGCCCAGACTGGGCTCAAACTTGCAGTCCTCCTGTCTCAGCCTCCTGGAGCGTTGGGACTGCAGGCATGTGCCATCATGCCCACATCATTACATCTGTGTCATCCAGTGTGGGCTGGGGGGTCTCACTCAAGCAGCGATGCCTCTGGGGTGCTCTGAAATAACCGGCCCCTGTGGGCACTCTCTGGAAGGCCTTGGGTGGGGCCTGGCATTGCAGGGTGCTGGGGAGGAGGTGAATCCCCACTGGTGGGGAACTAGGCAGGAGTGCAAGGCCTGAGGCATGTCCTGGAGGCACAGGGAGAGTTTCAGCTCTGCCTTCTGGAATGCTGGGACAGGGACAGACAGGAAGCATGCTCTCTGTCCTTTGAAGTGGACACCCTCACTTGTGAGAGGCACTGAGGCTCAGCTCTGGGTGAGGAGCCATTGAGGCAGAGCTTCTCAAAGATCTTGGCCCCTTTTGTTGGTTTTTCTTTTGAGACAGGTAGCCTTGTGTTGCCCAGGTAGCCTTGAACGGGGAATTTCCCTGCCTCAGCCTCCTGAGTAGCTAGGATTAAGGTGGGTGTCACTGCACACAGCCCCATTTGGTTGGACTTCTGGGACAACATGGCATGGATGCAGTTGGAGGCTAGGCTTGGGGGTGGTCATGATGTGCTGGCACCCTCAAATGTGCCCCTGCCCAGGGGCCAAACTCTGGGGCCATGATCTCCACACACCCTGTGTGAACGAAGGCAGTATTCGAGGTGAGTCTGGGCCCAGTCTGGCATGCAGCCACCTTGGAGCTCAGTCCCCTTCCTAGAAATACACCCCAGATTGTTGAGAATTGGAATCAACACGTATATAGCTCCCTGGCCTTCATCTGGGTGAGAGCTCTGGGGACCCCTTTGCACCCAGCTAGCTGCTCACCCAAGACCTCCTTCTCGTGGACCTCCTTCAGTTTGTTCAGCGACTCCATGAAGTTCTCCATCGTGCCCTGCACCCGGCCGCTCTGCCAAGGGTGTGTGAATGTCTGGCCTCTACTGCCCGCCTGGTTCCAACCTGCAGGGGAGAGGAGAGGAGTTGGCATAGAAAGGACCTGTGAGTGTCTGCACCTGGGCAGAGTGCGCCTGGAGTGGGGGCTCGTCCTAGGCAGGTGGGCCAGAGACTCCAGCCCCCAAGGCAGGTGGTGTGCAGCTGGAGCCACCCTGGAGAGGGGCGGCAGAGAGCAGGGGCACTTGGGGTGAGTATCAGCCCTTCCAAGCTGCCTGCCAGTGCTAGCACTGTCCCGATGCAAGCGTTGCCTGGAGCAGAGTAGATGGCGCCTGCCCAGCTGGGAGCAGCGAGTAGGATCTCACGGAGGATGGAGATCAGCCAGGCTTCCAATCCAATACCCGGCCCCTCCACTCCTCCCACCTGCTTCCCCTCCAAAACCGCAGCCTGGTAGGGTTGTGTAGTCCCCACATCCCGTCCCCTACTTGTGCACACACACGCACGGGACGGCACTGCACACACAGGTCACACATGCACACACAGACACCCGAGAACACACATCACGTGGGCACATGCACAGATAGCTGCACACACACACAAGTGCACACAGATGTGTGGGAGCACTCGTGGTCCTGAGGTCTTAGCACGCTCTCCCTCCAGTGCCGTCTCCTCTCGGACTCTTTACCTCCCTGGCCTCCACTGCCAGGCAGATCTTGTGCTCACAAACCTCCACCTCTGCTGGTGTCTGTGACGTGAGCTGTGCCCAAAGCCTCAGCGCAGGCCACAGAGAAGAGAGGACACAGTTTCACCAGTGTTTGCAGGACTGCCCTGAGGAGGCCCACAGCATGCAGAGCAGAGCTTTGCTCCAAGGTCCCATATTTCACTGCAAGATGGTCCTGGCATGGGGGAGCCGAAGTCCCTTGAGCACAGAGAGATACAACCATTCCAGCCTCTTGGGGAATCGGGGTGGTGGTTGCCTTTGACTGGAGGAGGCAGAGCCTGGGACCCCAAGAGTTGGGGATGGGGCAGGAGTGCCTGGAAGAGCCTGGCTCTTGGCTGGGTCCCCTAGTCTGTGGCCACGTGCCAGAACACAAGTCTGTGCTCAGTGGCTGTGGTGCCCAGGGGAGCCTGGTGGGCAGAGCAGGCTGAACAGGTGGAGAGCAGGGCCCAGGAGGTGGGTGCCCTAAGCCTGTCAGGTGGCGTGGTGACCCGTGGTGAGTGGAGCCTCTGCAGGTTAAGGATACGATGCTGAATTCCAGAGGCCTGGGGGAGACGAGGGCTCAGGCCACTCTGAATGGTAGTTCTGGCCCATGCTGGAGACCCACCACTTTTGCCACCTAACCCTGACCACACCGCAAGGAGTCTCTCTCCCAGGGGGGAAACTGAGGGCTGAAGCAGGCACTTTCCCACCTCTCTGGCACAGGGGGCAGAGGGAGCTGGACTCGAATTTGGCTTATGGAGCTGCCTGTCCTGTGTGTTTGCCCCGTGTGGGCCCGAGCACTTCCCCTGCGGCTCCGTAGCCTGGCTGGGCTGGCTTAGCTTGCTAAGGGCCCGGGAGGTGGAAAGGCTGACGGGGCCTCTGTGGCTCAGGCTGGGCTGAGCAAGGATGGAAGGGGGTGAGCTGCTGCACCTGAAATTCCTCCCAGACTTGCCCAGCGGGCTGCTCTTCCCTGGCCCCCAGTACCTGCCATGTGGGCTGAGCTGATGCCTGTAAAAGAACCACCCAAAGGAACCCAAGGTGCCCGTGGGCCCGGGAGCGGCCTGCGTGGGCTGCAGTCCACGTGAAGTGGGCAGTGTTCCCATTGATGTCATCGTGGTTCTGCAGCTGGCCCGGCAGGACCTGAGTTTTCTCCTCTGGGCCCTGTCCCCTTCCATTCAAGGGTGCCTCGCTGTGTTGGCCACTGCAGGCCTTGCCTGGTGGTTGCTCTCCGCATCCCCGAGGATGGCAGGAAATACTGTCCTGAGTGGGGGCTGCATGCCGGGGCCCATGAGCAGAGCAGGATGCTGACTGGGGTCAGAGATGGCTGGTGGGGTGGAGGTGGGCGTGGGGCCCTGGTGGTCTGTAAGCCTTGGTTCCTGGGGGCACAGGCGTGTGGCACGGGTGGAATGAACCCTGTCATAAAAATAAGCCCAGCTGCTTTGAGCTGAGGTCAGGAGGTCCTGCAAGCCTGGCCTGGGGGTTTGGGCTCAGGGGGTCCTGGGGGAACTTGGGATGCAGGGGCCTGAAGCTGGCAGTGGAGTTTGCAGGGAAAAGGGCCAGCCTGCTGCCTGGGGGCCATGTACAGGCAAAGATGGGGAGCATAGGGGCTGCTGGGGCAAGGTGGACAGGGTCAGAGGCTTGAGCTGTGTGTCAGGGTCCACAGGCTAGCCCAGGGTGGGCCACCCCATCTAGAGGCTCAGGCTGCCGCTGAACCCCGAGGGAGGTGCGGGGGACAGAGCAGTTGCTCGCTTGTGTCCACCTGCCATTTGGGACTGGGGTAGCAAAAGGGAGTCACAACTGCCACCTTCTTAGCCCGGCCACCAGGCCCCGCACGCTGCCCCCCTTTGTGGATGAGAACAGAGGGGCCCCCCAAGGTGGAGTTTTGACCACAGACTGGATTGGAGGGGTGGGGCTGCTACATGGGGGTCACTGTGCCAGCAGGTTCTGCTCCTTCAAACTGATAGTGGTGTGCCGCTTTGACCAGATCTGAGCAGGACACATCTCACCAACTGGAACCTGCTCCAAGGGAGCCCTCCATCGAGCCCACGGGCTGGCCAGACCTCTTTCCCTGCTGTCCCCCCCAGGAAGGCTCTCGCTGCAGGCCTGCCTGTCTCCTAGCACCCCCCCATCTTCCCCATTGGCCCTCTGCCTGGCCTTCAGACCCCCTCCTGCCCCTCAGGGTTCCCACCTGCCCCCCAGGGCCCCCACTGGCCCTCCAGGGCTCTGTGGCAGGCCCTGAGAGGAGGCAGGGGTTTTCCAGTGCTGGACTAATCTTAGCAGGCTGGGTCTCGGTGCCCCAGAGGAGAGGGCACCCCACCCCCTCCCCAGCGGCTGGCTGGGGCATCAGTCTGGGCGGTGGGCTGAAGGCAAGGGCTCTGAGCGTGGCTCCTATCCTACCTCTGACCTCTAGGAGCCTTGGGCCGGCTGCTTTACCTCTCTGAGCCTCTGTTTCATGTGCACCTTTGCCCCATATCAGGTTGCTGCAGGGCTCCCACCAGATATTGCATTCTTCAGGTTAAACAGGATCAGGACAGAAGGGACCCTGTGGCCCTCCACTCCTGCCTCCCTCACAGCCCAGATGGCTAGCAGTGCCACCAGCAGAAGCCCCTCTTCTAGTGGCAAGTTCAAGTCCAGAGGCTGAAAGGACGTTTTCAGGAAAAACCCTCCCTCAGTCAGGGCAGAGCCTGGGATTCCTATGGTGAAGGCATGCAGTCAGCCTCTGTGATGTCCTTCGGGTCCACAGGACTTGGCAGCCATGCCTGGGGGAGGTGCCATCTGGTCCCCCACACAGGTGAGGGTGGCACCACCGAGCTGCAGTCACAGCAGGCAGGCATCACCTGGCCAAGCAGGAAGTCCACAGAGGTGCCCTGGCACCCTGTCTCCCAGTGCTGTCCCTCAGGGACCCTCAGGCTGACAGGTCTGTGTGACTGGGAGCTTTGATTGACCCCCCTGTTCCTTTTGGGGTGCTGAACCAAGGAGCCACCTGGCTCCATGGCTCCAAGGCAGCTGCCCCCTCTCTGCCCTTTCTCCTTCCAGGCTCCTGGCAGAGGGCTCTACCCCTGCTGTAGGGGCGGGGCTTTTCTGTCCATCTGATTGTCCACCTGCGCCCAACAGCAGCCATGCTGATGGCAGCAGAGGCAGCAGCAGGTGCCACTGCCTGTGGGCCTGCACCGTCACCAGGTTTTCTGGCTTATAGGGGTGCTAAAACCCTCTGAAGTTTCGTGGGGGAGGCAGAGCTCAGAGCCGGCGCCTGGGCTGCTGTCTGTACATGGATGGGCTGGTCACTAAGTGACTCCCATCTCTCCAGGGCCAGGAGTGCCTTCAGAGTGCCTGCAGTTTGGGGCACGTGTGTGTTCACATGCGTGTACTCAGCGCCCCTTTGGCCTTAGAGGAAGTGCTGGCTGTCATCCCATTCTGCAGGTTCAGACACTGAGGCCGGAAGCAGAGGAGGTGACCAGGGCAGGCAGGATTTGAACCAAGGTCTGGATGGCTCCTGCATCTCTGCCCACTGTGTGTGTGAGTTCCTGCAGTGATGGACAAAGCCTATGTGGTGCTTTTTATCCACTCACTTGCCTGGCTGTGCCTCAGTTTCCCCATCTATAAAACAGGTGGTGACTCCTGATGCACGATGCTGGCGGCTGCAAGGATCCTGTTAAGGTTCCTGGCTGGGGGTAGGGACTCTAATGCCAAACTAGCAACTAGGCTGGGCCAGCCAGGGTGTAGTAGACCAGCCTCCATGTGTCAGGACCTCACAGGAGTGTCATTGCCACCTGGAGGAGTGGGTGGTAGTTTCCATTGAAAGATGAAGAAACTGAGGCCCAGAGAGACATCTCCTGTCCACAGTCACCAGCTCACATTGACCTGGCCAGGACACAAAGGGTCTTCTAGTAACCTGCTGCCCTGTCCAGGGTGGAGGGCCGTTTTGAGGTGTTCCTGCCAAGTGTTCCTGACATCCCATGGACACTGAGACCCATGAGGGACCAGCCCGCACATGTACACTGTCCTCACCATCCCCAGGGGCAGCAGCAGTGGCCCCATGCTGAGAAACCCACACATGTGCACATGTCAAGGGACACCCATGTGCAATCTCGGCCACCCCCTCTGCCATGCACAGGACTACGGCACCAACCCAGGGACAGTTGCACACGTGTGGCACTGGAGCACACGTGTTGTCCATGTGTGTGCCCCACATGTACGTGTGCACACCTGCGCAGAGGAAAAGGCTGTGTCGCGGCTCAGGTAACCTCACCAAGGGCCCTGCAACCCGACTCCTCAGGGATGGGCCGGCCTTTGCTGCCTCCAGGCCTGGGGGCAGGGGCCAAGCACTGTGGAGCTGGGCGGCCTGGTGCAGAGCTGGGGGTGACCGCACTGTGCAAACCACTTGCTCTCATGGCTGCCCGGATCCCGCCCTGTGGGGCTCTGGGAAGCCGGAGGTCTGCGATGGAGGTGTCCTCGAGCCCTGCACAGGTCGAGGAACTCCCTGGGGTCACAGTGCCAGCCCAGGCCCGGTATCTCCTCACCCCGCCCCGTCCCGGGAAGCCCACGCGCCTACCTCTTTGCTTGGTCCCCAGACCTGGGGGCTGAGTTGCTCACGCTCCCAGGGGGCCACCCGCCTCTCTTCCCGCTCCCGAAGGAGCCCGAGCTGGGGCTCCGGCCCCCACAGTGTGTCGCTGCCTGGGTGACCCCAGGCCCCTGGCTGCTCCAGCTGCCCTGCCTGGTGCCACTGGGTACTCACATGGCCTCTCGCCCTGCCTCGACCTCCGGGGCCGTGTGCCGAGCTGAGCGCTCCCCACCCTGAGACAGGAGTGGGCAGTGTGTGAACTTGCAAAGGCAACAGGACCGGATTTTGGCCCAACCTGCAGGACAGGTTTCCCATTCTCCCTGCCGGGAGCAGAAAGGAGGCAGGGACTGCCCAAAGCCACCCGACGGGTTCTACCATCTCGCAGAAAGTGGCAGAACAGGCTGGGTCTGGGGAGCATAGAGATGGAATTGTTTCCCGTAATTTCCCTGTGGCTGGTGCTGCTGCCCTGGTGGCCAAGCTGGTGACAAGGAGCATCCAGTGGGGCCCAGGAGGGCAATGGGGGCGCGTGTGGGGGCAGAAGGAGTGGTATTCAGGGATTGTGGAAGGGGACACTGGTGGGCACAGCTCCTTGGCCCCGAGGTGGGCCCCTGCCCAGCTCACCTCCAACCACCTTGGGTTGGGGACAATTCCCTGTCTGGACTCAGTTTCCTTGTTTGTGATTTGGGGGTAAAGCCTAGGGTCTGGCCCTGCCAAAGTCCAGTGATTGGACATCCAGAGACAGCGACTGGAAGTGACCCTGCTAGAGGCCGGAGTGCTACTGGGCTCCATAGAGGAGCCTAGTGGGGGCTGGGCTTAGGGCTTGGCCTGTCTGTGGAGCTCTACTCACTTGGAGCCTCTGTGTGACCCTGTGTGGTGAGTGGGGCTTAGCTTGGCCTCAGGTGTTGGGGTGTTCTGCATGGCAGCATGGTGGCCGCACTCTGCACAGGAGGGTGGCTTCTTACATGGCCTCCCCATCCACTATCCCACCCTCAGCTTTCCCGGCTCTGCTCAGAAGCGGGGCCTGCTGAGTCCATGGAGCCACAGGTGAGGGTCCCTGGGCCTCGGAGTGGATGGGCCGGAGGCTGGAAGACAGACCCTGCGGGCTGCAGCAGCTGGGCATGGCTCTGGGAAGGCCTAGGCTATCTCCAGCCCCGCTGTGGCCCCCTCAGCTGGGCTCTGGGAAGGAGCTGTGCTCAGCAGCAGCCATCTGGGGTGCTGACCAGCCTGTGGGGCCTGTGGATGGCTTGGTGCTCCCTCCTCCCAGATAGTTTGGCATGTTTTCACATGGACCTTGGGGGGCTGGCGCGGGGCCCACAGAGCAGAGGGTATGCTCAATGCACCTGTATAGGGGTGTGTGCACACGCACACACATCTGCCTGCTGTGATCCGAATATTCGTGCCTGCGTACGGAATCCTGACTCGTGGTTGTGGGGCCGTGAGGGAGCTGGTGGGCCCCCTGGTGGGCCCTGACCTCTCTCCCTTAGGAGGCTGAGGACCGGATTGCCTGGGAATCAGGAAACTCAGGCTCCCAGGCACCTGATCTGCCTGTGCCCGCTTTGGGCTTCCAGCCTCCGGGAGGCAAAGGGAAGTTTTTGCTGTTCTTCGTGCTCAGGATGAGCCTCTCGCTGCAGCCGTGGGAATAAACCCAGCATTTGAAAGAGGTCGAGGTCAGCTGTTGCCCTCAGCATGTGCGTCCGAGGCATCAGGGTGTGTTCTTGTGTGCATGGCTGAGGGAATGTGTGGTGCCTGGGGGCCCCAAAGGAAGGCCGAGGGACAGGTCACCCCAGCAGTGCTAGCTCTCACTCTGGACTGGCTCAGCCTTCAATCTGGGCCCTTGAACCCTGGAACTCTGTCCTTTGAGAGCTGGTCACTTTGGACCAGTTACACAACCTCTCCGAGGCAGATTCCTCTGCAAGGGGGTCCTCCAGGCAGCTCCTCAGAGCCCTGAGGCTGCCCCAAGGTGTGCAGCAGTGGGCTGCTTCCTGCTGGAGCTGGCTGGGATGGGGCGGGGTCTTGGAACTGACATCAGAGCCGAAAAAAAGTTTTCTGTACTGCCCAGCAGCCCATGGCTGTCCCCAACACAGGCCTGGGGCTTACAGTGGACCCCACTTGGACAGATAGCAGACAGACAAGGGGGTTAAGCCAGCGGCCCCCAGGCAGGGACACATGGGGCTTCAGATTCTGACCTGGACGAGGAGTCAAACATTCGAGGCCGGGGACGAGTGGCAGAGGCGTGGGCTTCACTGACAACAGCCAGGAAGGGAGCGTCCAGCCCCAGGGCCTGGTGGGGGGACACCGGACAGAGAAAGCTCTCCCAGGGCAGGGATGGGGACAGAGACGCTGCCTCTGGGTGTGGACAGCAGGTGGCAGGGCACCTGCGGCAAAGGCTGACCTCTGCTTTATGCAAATCACCCTCAGTAAGGCTGGCCCTTGAGTCTCACCACAGCACTTCAGCTGGGTCTGCTGAGCAGCGGGGCTGCACAGGCACCACGGCCACGCCTGGCTACTGAGGTGGATTTTAAGAAGTTAGTAACTTTTTTGGAGTAGTGTTAGAGTCACAGCAAAATTGAGAGCGAAGCACAGATTTCCTGTACTCGAACCTCGCCCTGTGTCCCTGCAGAGCACAGCCCCCAGCCCCCGCCTGCTGTGGACATTCTGCCCCCCACCCCCATGCACCTAGGAATGTGACCATGGAATTGTAAGGCAAAAACATGTTTAGTTTATAAGAATAAAGCTGACCGAAGAGCAGAAATGGCATGGCACTCGGTGGTAATCCCGGTGCGCTGGGAGGCTGAGGCAGGGGGATCACATAGTCAAGCCCATCTTGGGCCGTTTAGCAACTTAGTGAGAACGTCCTTCAAAATAAAAAAGGGCCAGGATACAGTTCAGTGCCAAGGCCTTGAATTCAGTCCCGGCTGCACACACACATGCACACACGCAGAAAACTGAAAAGCTCCCAAGGTTGGGGGGTGGGGGCGACCGTCTGCTGCCCACAGTGTCGGCCCTGCCCCCACCTCTGCCAGGGCTGCTGGATACCTCGGGTCCAGAGATGTCCCAGCTGTCCAGATGAGCCCCAGCCTCACCCTCGCTGGCAGCAGGACACTTGCACAGGGCACCACGGCCGGGGGCTCTGGTGTGGCTCCAGGCAGTGCAGAGCCACAGCTGCCCCCTCCCAGGTCCTGTGCCTCTGTTTCCGCTGCCTGGCAGGGAGGGTGCCGTGGTGATGCCCTTGCCGAGTGCCTTCCGCACACAGGGCTCCCAGAGGTAAGTGCCTTGCCCAAGGGCACCTCCTTGTGAGTGGGTTCCCACGCTTTTCCACGTGCTGTCTTGGACGTGGGTGGGGCTGGGGTGGCTTCAATCTCTGCTCATCTGCTTAGACACAAGCAGGCTTCTTTCCATGTCTCTGCACGTTTAGGACTGGCCCCAGGGCTTCTGGCCTGGTGGGTGGGTGACCACGCAGTCCTGGGACCCAGGATCATCTACTCCCAGACGTAGCTCCATGGTAGAGGCCCTTCTGTGCCAGCCCTCACGCAAGCAGGTACTCAGTCACTCCTGTGTCACCCTGCTCAGGTGCCAACACGGGTCCCTGCCATAACCCATGGTGGGGTCCTGCCCTCTCGAGTGTGGCCTGGTGTGGAGCCCAGCCTGTCTGGTCTCACTCCCCACTTCCCCCTGGGGGCGGTGACAGCAGCCACTGTGGGGCTGGGGTGGATGGTGACCCAGAGAGCAGCGGGTCCAAGCCTGTGATGAAGCCCCCAGGGCGGAGGAGCAGCGGCTTGCTATTCTTGGAAGGAGGGCTGGAATTTGGGAAGGGGGAAGATGTAAGGAGCCTCTGACTTGGGTCTCCTGGGCAAACTCGGCCGGGGCACGAGGCACTTCTGGTCCCCCATTAAAATCGCCAGGGTCTGGCCAGGCAGGTTGACCTGAGAAGCCTGCATCTGGGTGTGTCCAGGGTGGCCTCTGCCAGTTGGAGGAAACAGTGCATGGCTCCCAGGGAGATTCCAGGCTCACTCTGTCCACCCCGAGACACTGGCAGATCCTGGACATACAATGCCCGTTTACTCAATCATTCATGTTACATGTGTCAGGACAGTCCAGGTGCTGGGTGCAAGACAGAAACAGCCTCCTCCTCGCAGAGTTCAAAGTCCAGTCACACTGTATATGCTGAGTGTACTACACGGACACCGCACACTTGCACTCGTGTGTGCACACATGCGAACACACACACAGCCCCGAGACTCCTGAGGCAGAGTGCCATGTGTCCATCAGCTGGGCTCAGGCCTGGCCACCAGACTAGATGGGCAGGCCCGTCGGCCTAGCATGGTCATATAAGGTTGGCAGGGCTTTCGGCTCTCAGTGGGACCTCTTGGTCAGGGAGGGGCTGATGCCCACCGTCACCTGGGCCTGGCCCAATCCTCTCCCACCACCCAGGGACCGAGGACACACCCAGCCCAGCCCCCAACTGCCCATCATCTCTGTTCCACCTGAGCAGGAGGGGCTTCCGTGGGGGGAGGGAGGAGGGAGGCCTGAATGCTGATCAGCCGTGCCGTGTAGTGTGCACACCTTCCCCTTCTCTTCTGGGCTCCCCACCGTGCATCATTTCCTGCTAGATGCCGGACACTAGAGATATTTCATGGAGGGGACCCTGGGTCCACCCAGGAGGGGAGCTGTCCTGCAGAGCTCAGAGCTGAGCAGTGAAGACGGGGGCTCCCATCTTCCTGGAAGACAAGCCCAGAGGCCGTGCCGGGCCGGGCACAGATGGGATGGGCAGCAGGGATGGGCAGCAGGAATGGGCTGCAGCTGCAGGTGTGGACCCCCAGGCTTGGACCCATGCTCAGCCTTGCTGGCAGCACCAAGGCTGGGGTGGCCCAGCTTTAGATCAGCCTTCTCTAGGGTGGGACAGCTAGAGGGGGCCAGCGGGCATGCCACAGCCCAGGCCCTCACACCGGGAGTCCCGTGGTTGTTATGGCACATTCATGGCTGGGCAGGGATGTCTCTGTGCTGCACCCTGCTATGTGCAGGCCTGGGGGGCTCCCACGAGACCCCGTATCTGTGGAGCCCCTAATCAGCTGATCATCCTGGCCATGTGAGCAGGTGCCAGCCCTGGGGTATGAAGAACTTGGGGCTGGACTGTGAGTCTTAGGTGTCAGGCAGAGGACAGAGACGCACTGGTGAACATGGTGGAGGGTGGCAGTGGCTGTGGGGGGCTGAGGAGGTCAGAGCAGGAGCAGGGAGGTGGTGGGGAGGAGCAGCCCTGCAGCTGTCACCCTGCTCTTCTGGGCTGGGAATCTGGTGCCGAGTTAGCTGGCTCCAATCTGCTGCCTGAC